GTTGTTATATCACATCACTTTGATTAACTCTGTTTGGTTATTTTTTAAAGTTAAAAGCAGTTAGTGTGATACATTCTCTATTTATCTAAACTATTTTTCATATGTATGCATTATTATCTTAACACTTTGAGAAATGAGAAGTGTTTTCTTCACTTTCACTCTTAAAAATTGGTTTTTTCAAAAGTTGTGGAGCATAAATTCCTTAACGAAAATATAATTGCATTATGTTACACGAAATATTTCTTACTCAATTCACATTCGGCACTTAATTTTTAGGATAACTGACAAAAAATACCTTCACAGTGTCGCTGCATAACAAAATCTTAAACGTAGCAAGTGTTTCCCTTTATATTCTCCAATTGTGGTAATTGACTTTTTACTCTAATACGAGTGAAGTTAGAGTACGATGTTTTACGTTAATGAGTTGTAGTTTGGATGAGTTCTACTAACAAATAAATGGTCTTCTCAATAAAGTGCTTCAAGTCAATATTTGTAGTGCTAACCGCAGATTTAAATTTGCAGGTCGGGCACCTAACTACGGGAAAGTAGCTTGCGTGGTCAACGAGTGCTTGATGTTCACAGGTCAGATAACGGTGACCCTCTCCTGGTCGGACTACACTCTGTTTGCGGCTGAGACCATCTCCTTGTGTAATCACCCTCAAGGTGCTGTCTAGCGTCCTGTTAGCAACTCAGGCCGGAATTCAGAATGATCTCACCAGGTTCGCCTACCTCTGGGGTAGTTGTGTACGAAACCGTCAATCTTTTTGGAATAACTATCCGGAACTGGATCATGCTCCGGTTTGCACCAAGCTTAACCTGGACTTTAGTGCCCAGCAAACGTCTGGTCTTGAACTGACTGATACCAGTAAATTGACTGTAACTTCTGTTAGAACCGGATTTCAGTGTAAGGTTCAAGACTAGCAGTCAGTTCGCGGAAGAGCATGGATAAGCATTGTGCGTCTTCATAAAGCCAAGTCGCTTGCAGTTCAAAAAGCCCGTTCATAAGTCCTAGGTTTTTGCAAGCTCGCTCATCCACTCCGATGAACCTCCAGTTTGATGACACGCAGATTTCTACGTGACGGAACTTTATGAAGTTGGCGAACAGCCGAGAAACCGGGTAGTGTAAGCGTGCTAACAGCTTCGAAGCAGCAACTGCATTTGTTACTGTACGAAGTTGTTTGAGCTCACTCGAACAATCGGCAACATGTCTGGCGTGAAACAATTTGTGAAGTTAGTGGGACATTAGTTAGCAACATCTTGTTTGATGGGGAGTGTTTTCAAGGAACAGTTCAACTGATCTGTTGCACCTACGAGAAGCGTCAATCAGAGTATCCTTCCTGGTCGATGACTGCTGATCCACTTAATAAGTCGGAAATTAGTCAGGAACCTTAACTACTGAAGCCCCACGAGTTACCAGGTCCATGCAATCTTATTTTGGTTCTTTTTAAGGATAGTAGTAGAATTATATTCAAGTAACTGACTGGATTTTTTCGAAAGATTTAGGAATCGGAGTATTCTGATCACCCTGAATATAATAATCTATAACCTGTCAAAGTTGGCGATCCTAATTTGCGTTATCATTCGAAAAACGTGCGAATTTAGCGTAGTAAATTTGAAAGTACCATCCCCAGTAGTCCAGGATTATAAGAATAGGTCCCATTGGTTCAGCTTGAAAAACGACAAGAAGGTTAAAATACCTATTCAGAAAAATACATATCACTTTTATGCATATTAACTGTCAGCTATGTACTTAGTTATGCAGGTAAACTCAGTTCAACGTGTGTGGCCTGATTTCGTTTGACTACTAGGTAGAAATTACTATAACCTCATTACGTCTGTTACTAATTTGTCGCATTTTCCACTACCGGTTGTTGTCTGTTCCGCCTTTTTTCGAAATGACTATAATCATTTGCTAATATAGTATAAATTTTACTAAAGCTTCACATAGATTGGCTCAACATTAGTACGAGAAGTGCCCGAATAAACTGTCTGTAATCAAAATAAATCGTACAGCAGCCACTTAAAAATTGAATGTTCATTGTAGCCTAGTGTATTAGAGAAATATGGAACGACAAATCAGTGGCCTGACCACCTTATGTACTTTACTCAAATATACTTGCCTACGCCTGTTACCACTAGTGGAGCATAGGTTGCTCACCAGCATTATCCATAGAACTCTGTCCTGGGCAGTCCTTTCCAGTTGCTATTTATTCTTTTGACGTTTGCCTCGAATTTTGGTACAACATTGTCTTTGGTCTTCCACATTTTCTTTTTCCCTTCAGGGTTCTAAGTTAGGGCTTACCTCATAATCCAGCTTCATTTCCGTAATGTATGTCCTATCCACCTCGAACGTCTTTGCCTATTTTTTTCAGCTGGAAGTTAACTTGTTCTCATAATAGATGGTTGCTGGTGATATCCGACCAACGGAAATTGAGTACCTTGCTTAGACAATTGTTTAGAAATACTTGTACGTTTTTTCTGGTTTGTAGTAGTTCCCCACGTTTCAGCCCCGTACAATAAAACTGTGTTGACGTTGATATTGCAGGTACTGACTTTGATGTCGGCCAACAGTTGTTTTTAGTTTTATATATTCTTCAAATGTAGGGATGCTGTCCAGGTACATAAAACTTTACATCCCTTGCAGAGCTTCTCTATCAAGTGTGATTGGGTTGGTGCTGTGTTGTATTTCACGATCTTACTTTCTCGCTCGTGTGCGTTGAGGCCTATTACCGCAGAGGCTGCTGATACACTGGCTGTCGACACCTGCATTTGTCGCTGTATATGGGATAGAAGGGACAGGGTGTCTGCAAAATCCATATTGTCTAGTTGTGTCCAAGCAGTCCATTGTATTCCGTGCTTCTTCTGATATACAAATGTCCTAATAATTCCGTCAACAATCAGAAAAGAAAAGATGAAAGTAGGCAGCCTTTCTGACACCGCTCTTCATTTGGAATGCATCTGTAAGCTGTCCTCCATGCACGACTTTGCAGTGTAGTCCATCGTATAAATTCCGTATGATGTTGATGATCTTCTTAGGTACACCATAGTGTCGAAGAAGGTTCCGTAATATTCTTCTATCCACACTGCCATACGCTTTGTCATGATCGAGGAGGTTGATGTGGCAATTTCTATTCAACGGATAGCTCGACAATGATCCATAGTGTCAATTTACTCAAATATAATAGACCAAAGATCGTTTTTGGAGTGCTTTCAGTGTATATTGTTTTATAGTAAACAATGGAATTGAAGATTTGCTATATTCGTTAACAACAAAATAATCAATTGTTATTAGTATCAATACCTAAAAATATTCTATCCAGACAAGTGAACGCTATTCCAAGTTTTACAACACGTGGAACAATGCGTCTGCTAAAATTATTTACGCATAACTTAGGCATTGTACTCCATTTACATGCCTGAAATGAATACCAATTGAATAGCCGAAAACCAATATCTTAAGAATTTTGGTTATATTACTAACACTAAGTTCACAATGCATGAACTTTTCACATGATTTTCATTTAACTAACTCATTCTATTGACTAAGGTCAACATCCAAATATGATTGGATTAGCACAGTATAGATTTGATTTAATTAGTAAACACTATTTACATTTCCTTAGTGATTTTGATTATTACCCTGAAGAAGTCCAGACAAGTTTGCTGGACGAAACGTTGGAATTATTTAAATTTTAATCGCTGGGATTATTTCAAATATAATTTTCACACATATAATGACTTCTGTATACTCGGCGCCCAATTTTTGTCAAACTATTCGTTCTAATCTTGACTATCGTAACCAATGGTTGGAGACTCTTATTGACATGGCTCAGAATCGATCACAATGGCGTCGGTGTATACACTCCCTGTCTTCCCTTAAACTAAGAGATTAAAATTGCTTCATATCTTTCTTTCTACGAATTAATTCTTTCTTCCTGTACTATATCCGTATTGCAATCTTTCTTTTATATATTACCACCTCTGAATTAACCACTTTTATGAATCCGGTGTTCATCTTGTTGTGTTAATGAGGTATGGCAACTTGGACCGATGGATATATATGACTGGTCCTACGTTGTAGCTGACTGGCTGACGAATATTAGTATAAAATACTAACACTTTTTCTTTAGTTTTGACCAATCTCAAGTGTAAGAGGATGCAGATGTTCCCTGTGAATGAAAGTGAATCGTTTTTTGTGATTTATCAACTATTTCATATTCTGTGCACGAGATTATTTAAATTTTCATCGTTTTCATCTTCATTCTTTTGAAACAGCGGAATAAACAAAAACTTTATATGATAAAAGAAAATATTTTTAAGAAGTTTTTTTTTTTCAAAACAAAAACTTATTTAAAATAGTCCAATCGACAAATAGTAATTAATTAAAACATTGTGTAGGGAAATAAAGAGAATAGATTAAACTTTACCTATAAATGGGTCATTACAACAAAAACCTATTGCTTGTCATTAAAGTGAACAGAAAAAGAGAGTGTGTAGTAAGAATAAGATAGATGAAAGAAATATCTGCCAAATCATCAACTTGTTTATATTGGTTACGAGGAAATCAAGGTCAAAAGATCATATATATATATATATATATACCAAATTGAATCATTACTTAAGCAAAACAAGAAAAAAACTATATCAACGACAATTGATTTGTATCAGTGTAATAGAAAAACAATATTTGTGAGATTGTGAGTAAGTGAAGAGAAAAGACGCTACAAATACAAACATTTTTTTACATACATTTAAAACGGACTACTGGGATTAAAATGCTGTCCCGATAAAATAAAAGATTTGAATTTATATAGTAGAAAATTTAACATGAATTATAATGTCAAACATTTGATTATTCATTTTTAAATATATCACAGTTGATCTATGGGAACAACGAAATGTATAAGGTGACATGATAATTTGTTTGTATTTTCTATAAGATATGCACGTTTGACGACAGTTAAATTCATCCAAACTATCAGACAGTTAGCTGACAAATTTTATGGATTCAGTGGACTTTTGCCAAGATATAATGAAGTTAACTGACTTTTAACCTGAAATTCAGACGAATAAATATATTATGTATTGTCAATGAACTTTTAAGATTGGTAGAAATCGGATTTTATTTAGCAAAGTTAGCGTAGCAATCGAGCGTTAGGAATTTACGCTAAAAAACGAAACCTGTTAACATATTGTTATAATCTCTTCCTTCTTACGGTTAATGACCCAGCTATTCCTATTGCTTAGTATTCTCGGACACCGATTCACTCGACAAGTCCCCAAATCAGAACACGGTTGAACAGGAAAAAGATTATATTCCAAATAGCAAATCAGCAGCCAGTAGGAAGCACAATAGGGGAAAACGTCGGTATATTTATAGTTTTTACATAAGAAGGTTCCAGAATATTCTCCGACTATCGACTACTGCTGATTGGACAAGAATCAGCCAATCAGCGTGCACCAAAACAATCATGCATTGAGCATGCTTCAATCTAGTCTATGTCCCGCTAACACATGAAGGGAGACAAAGTTAGGGAGGGAATCAGTGACCCTGTATGATCTTTGTATAGCCCCAAAAAATGACAAATATTAATAAGTGGGAGGTCACATATTATGTAATGAATCAAAAGTCGACTACAAAGTTTTGAAACTACTAACAATATTGAGAAATTTTAATTTAAGTACATTGACGTAAAATAAATAGACAATTTAAACTTTTGTGAAAAAAATTACACATGGCTAAGAAAAATACAAGACTTCAATGGTATGTATAAAACTTAAAAGCCTTGTTTTTGCCACTAACTGAATTTATCTGGTTGACCATTGACGAGGATGGCAAAACACTATACGGCAATGTCGTTATACTTTGTAACTTCTTGTTAATGTACACCAATGAGGAATACGACGAAAGACTTTAAGGACTCACGATAAGAACAATATCTGTATCGTAAAATAACTGAAGTTGGAAATGTCATTACTGGGCTTCGATTCAGTGGTCTACAGTTATTATTAAAACCTAAAGGCAATGAGTTCGATCCTTAGTGAACTCGCCAGTTCGCGTCGTTGATGAGATCTGAACTACGATAAAATAGATTTCTACTTCATATTATTTGTTCATGGCTTTCCAGTTGATTTCAGTTTATGATGAAAACTATACTGAATGTGTTCTAACATTTAAAAAAAACATAAACACATCATACGTTACCTGAGATAAATACATTTCATTGTTTGGTGCCACGTTGTTATTTGCTGAGTGAGAAACGAAATTTCCAAACGTTTGATTTGGTAATGTTTGATTCATATTCATATTCCATAACTGAGATAATGTGTTCGTGCATGGATTATTACGGTTGGAGTTTAAGGTATTACTGAAATCAAACGACTGATTCGGACGAACAATGTTCTGATTCGGTTGTATTGCAATAGATGAGCATGCGGAGGTATTATTTTCAGGCCAGACAGCGAAATTAGGTGACGGAGGCTTGCAAATTCAAAACAGAAAGAGAAAAACAATTAATTACAATATGAAAAGCCACAAGTCAAATGTGTAACATGGGGAAATCTCAGAACATAAACTGTGTTGTTATGAGCAACATTTAGTTGCTTAGTGATTAAAATGGTAGGCATTCAACAATTCATGTTGCAAGTTTGAATGATCGATCATCGATCGAGTAGGAGGACACAAAATTGGAGTTTAATTCCGAAAATATGATCACAAACTTAGCAGCTGAGTAGCATTATATTAAATTGTTATTTTTAAAATGAGTTATCCTTGTTGTACAAGGCTGAACGACATACATGAAATCAATTACGGATATATGAAGTTTAAGGATCAAACCAAAACGTGGCATTAGTTCAGGAAGTCACTGACAGATTATATGTTGGTAGATACAAACTTGATTGGGGTCCTAGAGATTATAAATAATTGTTAGAGATACTGGGTGATAAAGTTCAGAATCATTCACAAAGATGCAAATCTTTTCTTCTTATCAATCTTGGATTCCAGGATTCCTAAATACATACTCTTCCACTCTGTCTTCTCAAGCCATATTCACAAGGTTCAGTTTTCCTTTTATCACTACTACCATTACCATTACACCTCTTTCGATCTATTTTGCTATTTTCATTGGTCTTACTAATCTTTCAAGGCAACTTGTGCTAACGCACATTTATGCCAGGAAATATACTGATGATGCCTGTCTGTTTGAAGTTTACCACAAGCTGATACCGAAAGATAACTTTCACACCTCATTAATTGAAAGTTTGTACAATATATAAAGCAGTTTAAATGAGGAGTTACCAACTCAATATTTTACTGGTACGGCGCACTGTCAACAAGAGCATATCTTTTAAAAATGCTTAACCTTATGAACTTTACTTTTAAACATGTACTAAATGATTGCTCAAAATTTCGAAGGATTAGTGATAAGTTTGTAGGACGAACAGTACACTCTACTACACTAGAATACCTAAAACAATATTTGATGCATTTTTCATGTTCGGAGTTTTGACTAAATTTAAACCTAAGTACCAGGAAAATCAACAATGCAAGCAACTATACTCGGTTACATTTTCAGTTATCCTTAGTATAAAAATATACAAATAGCTTAATTTAAAATTATCAATACTAAACTAAACCATAAACATACTTGAGAACATAACATACATGAAACATATTAACTGGATCCCTTTTAAAAATTAAAACTATGGTAAAAAGAAAAGCTTACAATGCATAATTTACTCACAATAAATTGCAATGATCCATTCAAATTATTAGTTCCAGCTGGATTTATGCCCAAACCGTATGATAAAAATTGATTGGGAGGAAAATGTGGCTCTTTCGTTTCCCCATTACCTTAAAAAGACGATAAGATTTCTCATTCACTTAAATTATCACAAATGGAGGAATCAACAACAAATACACACATGGCTTATAAATGCACAGACGAGAAATAACCTACCAACCGAATAATCATAATATTAGGAAAATAAGCTAAACATAATAGTTACCATAGTTACAGAAAACAAACCATAATGGAATTGGATGCATACTAGTCAACTTCTCACGCTTCGTGAAAAACTTGATTTTTGGGCATGATTAAGCCTATTACACATGAGGAAGAATAATTTTTCTTACCAAAAGTAGCTAAACTACAATTAACACAGATGCTGACAAAATGCAGTCTCCTGACCCCCTTGAGCGGTAATGCAAGGATGTTCGGAGTGCTTCTAGCTCTCTAAACACAAAATGTCACCTCAAGACTGATCTGCATCAATGCTCGAAGTGATGTTATGGAGTGAAGTGGTTGGCTTTATTGACCACTTCACTTATTCTGGGTGTCATCAGTCCTGATGGGTTATGCCTGACGAAATCTCGACATCGATTCAGAAAGCTCGGCTAGTGTTTGCCAACTTGCTCCGCTTGAGGGGTGGACAAAATGCTCGTCTATCAACCAAAGAAAGTGTGTACTGTACAGCAGTTCGCTCTGTTATACTTTATGATTGCGCAGCATGGTCCTTGAAAGTAGAACATATGTGTATGCTGAAGTTCTTTGGTCATAGGTGTCTTCCAAGGATTGCTCAGGTTTAGTAGGACGACTGAGTGAGCCATGTTGCAGATGGTACTCGGTAAAGATAGACAAACTGGTCGATAACATCGTAAATCCTCATTAATTGAGGTGGTTACGACCTGTGCTATGCATACCAAATACATCGACAAGATGTTTGGTAGCGCAGAAATAGTTTGGAAGAAAACTAGGGGCGCCAAAACCAAGACATGGCATTAGTTCACTATAATGTTGTCTTTAAGTCTCAACCACACATTTCCTTTTATTTACAAATAATAAGTAATACCACTGCATATAACAATAATCAATTACTTATAGATGAGTTTCACATTTACGTGAGAGCAAATTTCAGAAAATTTCTACTCTGCTAGTTCATGTTCGTACAGAAACATATAAATAATTGTTTGAGATTTCTTTACAAGATAAAATAAGTGTACTAAACAAATTAAGTAATATCATAAGTGGCCATTCTTAATTAAGTAAGAAACTAGCAATCTTCTAATTATTATAATTACACTAGGAGTTTTCTTTTACCAGTACAAAGAACTGTAAATTTTCGATATTAAACTGTAAACCTGATTACATTTCATCACACTTTGTATCATGTAGGTCAGTCAGTTAGTCATAAGCAACGTAGAAGATGGAACATTTGTGAATCGGTTTAAGTAGTGACACGTCAGCCCACAGAAAGGTTCCAGAGAACAAGTGTGGATGATCATACGCTATCACGAATGACTCTAACCCATATCACTCAAAGCTCCAACAATTGGTTACGACAATCGTGTGGACCTCGACCTGGTAGTCTGGATCAATACCAAGTAATGATTTGAAGGACCCACTTGTTTGCATTTACAAATATTTGCAGGCCTGGGATTCATATTCTCGTAATAAGGAAAAATATACCATATAACAGTTGCGTTAAAAGTGATTTACAGCATGAGCTTTCATTTGGGAAACATAAGTCTGCTAAAATACAATCATTTATGGAGTAGAATGAAAATATGCCTACAATCACGAAAACATAAGTTACTTAGTACATGATCTAGTAAACCATCTATAAAGTAACATATTATTTATCACATAATGTAAAAACTACTAATTCAAAAATTTATAGCTTATAGACAACCTTTGTAAGAGTAAAACGGTTAGCCAGTCAACTACAATGTAGGACCAGGCACATATATCCATCGGTCCAAGTTGCTATATCTCATTAGCATAACAAGATGAACACCGGATTTATAGTAGTTAATTCAATGGTGGTAATACATACAAGAAGGATGGCATATAAGGATACAGGACAGGAAGTAAGATTCAGTACGTAGAAAGAAAGATATGAAGCGATTTTAATCTCATAGATTAACGACCCGACCGTTGTTGCTACCTTGACGTGGTGGTCGGTCTTGCCTATTGTGATGAAGCAACCGAGCTATACTGGCTGGAACAACCGTTCCTCAAGGTCCTACCATGTCAGACAGGTCGGTTGATGAGCGGTAAGACTAAAAGCAACAAACCCAAGGTCTGAAGGCGAAGTCGTACTGCTGACTGTACAGAGGTGTGACAGCAGTAAGGTGTTTCCTTCAGACAACCAGCATGACAGCGATGCTGCCTTCCCACAAGGAGGGATGGGGTTAGAAAAGGTTGACCCTAAAAATGCACACCTCGCCTTATCCGACGGATACCCGTCTCCGGCGGTAAGGTTCCAAAAAGTACGGAGCTAACACGTCAAAAACCTCCCACGAAAAGGCCGTGCGCGACCGGCCTCAAGCAGTTATCCCTTGGGCACTGCGGTCACGCTCTCGGGTCACTGAGACCGCCTCTAATCCAATTTTCTTTTCAGGTACCTCCAGAAGAACCCTTCCACGGTGTGGGCAACCGGGAAGTGATAACCACCCTCATACCTCTAACAGCACTCAAGACTACTGTATTCCTAATCAACCTCCCTCTTCAATCCCTATTATTCCTCCAACATAGACTTTCACATCTAAACTTTATTTTCCGGCTTCCTCCTCAAGTGTCACCATAGCCAACGATTCTAGTGCTCAAAACTCTGTCCCAGGTCTACTGAAACCTCGCTCCAAACTACACATTGGAGCCTTCAACGTACGCACTCTAAGTCAAACCGGTCAGCAGGCTTCCTTGGCTAGAACCCTAGAATCTCGTACCACTGATGTATGCTGTGTCTCCGAAACACGCATACAGGATCGCAGTGTGGTCATTCACTTGACCTCACCTCGGCAAAACGGAGACCCGACGAGATACACCCTCCGTGTATCTGGTGACCCGATGGCCAGCTCTCGTGGACTGGCAGGAGTAGGGATAGCACTAAGCATGAGGGCGGAACAAACACTGCTAGAGTGGATCCTCGTTAACAGTCGTTTATGTGCTGTTCGACTGAACGGCTACGTAAGAACTCGGAAGGATAGGGACACACGTCGTTGCCTTTTTGTCGTTTCTGCCTACGCTCCCACCGACTGCAGCTCAGATGAAGTGAAAGATGAATTTTACAGAAAGCTATAAGAACTTCTTCAGAAAGCTAAACGTCCAGACATAGTACTCGTAGCAGGTGACTTTAATGCTCAGATAGGTAGCTTAAACCAAACAGAAAGGCATTTAGGTGGATATTTTAGTATTCCGGCTCAGCGAACAGATGATGGTGATCGTCTGCTGCAACTATGCTCAGACAATCGTTTATTTTTAGCAAACACAAATTTTAAGCATAAGGAGAGACATCGTCTAACATGGCGACCCCCTACACCAAACCAACGATGGACTCAAATAGACCATATTGCCATCAGTCATCGTTGGAGAGGGTCGGAAGAAGATTGTCGGTCATTTTAAGGTACATGCTTGGACTCCGACCACGCCCTAATACGGGCACGCATCTGCTTGCGCCTCACTGGATGCAAAAAAGCCACAGTAAAAAGACCCATTAGAACTGAATTTAGTAGCGAGAAAACCAAAAGTAGGTTCCAGGAACAACTGAGGTCACAATTAGGTAGTTCTGAAAACGAGGTTGACCCTGATGTTGTTTGGAAAGCTATACAAACAGCAGTGACATCTATCAATGATTTAAACCACAGGGTTACAAAGAACCAATGGATTTCCTCTGGGTCTATTGCACTGATGGATTCTCGTAAACTCATCCCATCAGGCTCTGAACACGATGAAGAGCGACAACAAATCAGATCTAGGTTAAGCAAAAGTCTAAGGAAAGACCATGAGCAGTGGTGGGCAACGAAAGCAAAAGAGATGGAAAAGGCGGCGACTATAGGGAACACAAGACAGCTTTACAGACTAATAAAAGAAACTGGAATTAATAAGTCAAGTGTAAGTGAGACGATACTCTCATCTGCTCCCAGTCCAGACGTTTAGAACGATGGGCGGAACATTTCAGAGAACAATTCAGTTGGCCTTCAGCTACTCTACAACTACCCTCCATTCCCAGACAGTGTGAATGGAACATTGAAGTGGGTCCCCCAACTCTAGCAGAAGTTCAAAAGGCTACACTTAATCTGAAACGAGGAAGGGCAGCTGATCCAGATGGATTGACTCCAGAGGTCTTTAAGGATAGTGGTTCAATTTTAGCGATTAGGTTGACTAATATTTTAGCTAAGACCTGGGAGTTAGACGTTATTCCATCTGACTGGTCACAATCACTTATCGTCCCAATATATAAAAGAGGGTTGAAATCATTCTGTGACAACCATAGAGGAATTAGTTTAACTAATATATCTAAAATACTAGCCTCGATAATTATCAGACGCCCAACTAAGACTCGTGAACTGCAAACACCAGAGAACCAAGCTGGCTTTAGACCTGGTCGTGGCTGCATCGACCACATAGTCACCACTCGTCAGGTTCTAAAACACAGGCATACTTATCGGCGTCCGACAATGGTGGTCTTTCTTAACTTGAGAACAGCATTTGACCCCGTAGACCGCGAGATCCTGTGACAGTGTCTGTCATTGAGAGGCTTGCTTCAGAAGTACATGAACCTTGTGAAGGCTCTTTACTCGAACACTACCAGTCGGGTCAGAGCTTATGGTGAACTGTCATCTACTTTTGAAACCTCAAGTGGTGTCCATCAAGGCTGTCCACTTTCCCCATTTTTGTTTAACTTCATCATAGACCTATTGATGAAAATAACATTCACGTCGACTGAATTCTCGGGTATTGATCTCCTTCCAGGAGGTTCACTTATCGACTTAGAATACGCAGATGATATAGTCCTGTTTGGTGAAGACGCTAATAAAGTGCAGGGTCTTTTGGTAGCACTAAGCAACAATGCCAGAATGTTTGGAATGCGCTTCTCTCCCTCTAAATGCAAGTTGTTGCTTCACGACTGGTCTGCGTCAACACCTGAACTAAGGATAGGGAGTGAAGTAGTCGAACGCGTCGACAACTTCACTTATCTTGGAAGTCTGATCAGCTCTAATGGGTTGGTGTCTGACGAAATCTCAGCACGGATTCGAAAAGCTCGCTTGGCTTTTGCCAACTTACGTCACCTATGACGAAGGCGAGATATCCGTCTATCAATAAAAGGACGAGTATACTGCGCGGCAGTGCGTTCTGTTTTAATTTACGGCTGCGAAACATGGACATTAAGAGTAGAAGACACTCGTAAGCTACTAGTATTTGACCACAGATGCCTTAGAAATATTGCTGGCGTCTGCTGGGATCACCGGGTAAGTAATAGTGAGGTTAGACGCAAGGTATTAGGGAATGATGGTAAATCAGTTGATGAGGTTGTGAATCTTCATCGACTGAGATGGTTGGGCCACGTGTTGTGTATGCCTGAACACCGGTTACCACGACGTGCAATGCCAACCGGTGTTCGGGATGGTTGGAAGAAAGTTAGGGGCGGCCAAACCAAAACGTGGCATCAGTGCTTGAAGCCACTAACTTCTAGTCTGAGCCATGCTGGTAGATGCAGACTACTTGGTTGGGGTCCGCGTGACTATCGTAACCAATGGTTGGAGACTCTTGGTGACATGGCTCAGAATCGATCACAATGGCGTCGGTGTATACACTCCCTGTCTTCCCTTAAACTAAGAGATTAAAATTGCTTCATATCTTTCTTTCTACGAATTAATTCTTTCTTCCTGTACTATATCCTTATTGCAATCTTTCTTTTATATATTACCACTTCTGAATTAACCACTTTTATGAATCCGGTGTTCATCTTGTTGTGTTAATGAGGTATGGCAACTTGGATTGATGCATATATGTGCCTGGTCCTACGTTGTAGCTGACTGACTGACTGACAGATTAACGAAAGACAAAGAGTGTATACACCAACACCATTAGGATCGATTATCAGACATGTCAATCAGAGTCGCCAACCACTGGTTACGATAGTCGTGCGGATACCAACCAAGTAGTCTTCATCTACAAACATGGTTCAGATTAGAAGTTAGTGACTTCAAGCACTGATGCCACGTTTGGAGACATACGCATATAGGAACTCAACATAGTAACAAAATGCTGTAGTGATTAGTGATGACTACCTAAGAGACGGATAAACGATTAACCCTGATTCAATAGGAAAAGTCACAATGACTAAACTACCATAAAAATTTAAAATAAATATAACTTAAAAACCCATAAAACGAAAATCGAGGCACAAACAACAAAGATAAAGTAAATACCAACTATATAAAAGAATGAAACTGAAATGTTGTTTACGAAATTGCGAGAACGAAAAGCGAACGTCCGGCGCCTTAATCGGGTTGGTGGATATGGAGGATTTCCCTAGAAGGGTTGGAAAACCCTGAGTCCAAACCAATTGTGCATATGGACTGTAGGATCCTGAGGGAGCAAAATACCTATGGAACTATGGTTGGTTACCGGATACTATGGGATTGCATCTCCTTACGTTGCTCCACTGCCTTGTGGATTAGACCTTCAAGTCAAAGGCTCGGGATGTGACTCCCTAAGAAAACCGCTTGCTTCGGCTTGGGCACCCAGGCAGTATCCCAGACCTCACACGAACCAATGATAACTGCTGCTGGCCTCATTGTTATTGTGTGGCGCATATGTATTTGAAGCACCCTTGTACCAATGTTTATGTGTTCAAATAATAATAAATAATAACGCTAAAAATCAAATGAATATTCAAAATGACATAATACATCACAAGCTTAATCAGATCACATCAAGCTTCATATATATTGTATCGAAAATCATACAATGATGTTACTGGAGGACACTAAAGACGAAAATGATACCTAGTGAGAATATAGAGATAACATCCATATATAAATGTTTTACCTAACTAAACTAAACAATAATGAAAGGAGCTTAGTTATAATACGTGAGTTAAAAGAATGATGAATTAATTCATAAGTAGATGTTGTATGAACTAATAGCACTGAAAATAATGTTAAACAAGGAACATAATAATGAATATGATTGGTGAAAATAATCGTTATTCAACAGAATCAACTTTTAGATTTTAAAATCGCTTTTGTACACTGATTTGTACAATAATTAAAACGTACCCGAATTGTTTATATTTTTGTTATGCGTAGAATTATCAAGTGGAGGATTACATCCAAAGTACTGATTTCCTGAAAAGTTAGAAGTTGAGAACTGTCCCATGATTCCTGGATACAATGCGGAATTCAAACTACTTGACTGTGGTGCGCTTTGCTGATACAAAGCCAAGATTGAATCTTTGGTTATCTTTGACGTGGATCCTGAAGACACTTGTCCATCATTAGCTACATTTGTAGTCTTTTCACCGACCAAGTTAGTGCATCCAAAGTCCAAACCCAGAAGATCAGATGTCAAGCTAGATGCAGTATCCTGCATAAAAAATTGTGAACATGTGTGATATAGCGTACAAACAGTGATTATTTATCTAGCTGCATTTCGATTTTTCTTAATAAAACAATGATATTTATACGAAATACTTACTTTAGGTTTTTGTATATGTTGGGTCGTATCTACTAGTGAGCTGACTGGTTGTTGTCCAGCAGTTGACTGTTTTTGTTGATTTCCAAAAGTTGCTTGACTAAAACCACCGTGATCAAATAGATTATTTTTATTTTCTGGACTAGAAGCACTGTCAAGCCCCAGAAGGTCAAAATCGTTGTTTGTCCTGTTAACATTATCTGTTTCAGATGACTTGAAAAGAGAAAATCCATGACGCAAAATGAGAGCAAGCCAGTAAGCATACTAAAGAAGCGAGACATATGATTTAATAGGATAAAATAATTGATATACTCAAGGACTGATACACAGAATAATTACAACAGAATCAGAGTAAATGAAAAACAGAATAAGCCTATAAAATGGGTAGTTATATTTGTCAAACGCTACGAAAATTAAACAAAACATTTTATTTTATCCATAACACAGAACATTTGGTACAACACGAGACCAAAAACGTGTACCATACAAAGCAACTCAGTAAAGGACTCTTACTTTAGCGGCAGTACCATAATAAAATAATCAGCTTACTGTTACTGATAGCTCCTTAGATGGACGATGCGTTCTGCTGGTAGGCTGTTGTAAATGAGCACCCAAGCTCACAGTAGGCGATTTTTTCTTTTGAGACAATTCAAGACGTTGCAATTCCTAACCGAACAATCAAAAATGTAACTGATGTAAGCTCATAATAATAACAGGCAGAAAACTTTATAAGCTCTATATAAAATATATTTATCGACAAAATATTCTGAAAAGTCCTCTACATCAGTGAAATTCAAGTAAAGGTAAAGGTGGTGTAATGCCCACCTATTTCATTCTAGATATATTCCGAGAATCCGTTATTCTGACCTCCTAATCGAGATTTTATGGTAACATCTAAAAACTCCGTTGAAAAACATAATACATCACCAGACATTCGCTAAATAGAATCATGGTGACATAAATTGAGCCTATTCGAATGAATGTTGATTATGGACGCCTATTTACGCTATTTTCACTAATCTTATGTATCTTGATGAGGGTCAATCGCATCTCGACAACTCAGTGTGCGATCAACATCGTAGTAGTCTTTTACTATAAAACTACTACACATGGGTATGAACGGTAGTTAGCATAAAAACATGAGTATTTGACAAATGTTTTATAAAGGTTTTTCGTTTGTGGTAAGGCTTCATTGAGTAGGCCCCCAAATGCCCTGGTACGGCCGAGAGTGGGAAGAGTTCGCCCTCCCTCTCGAAATGCTCTCACATGGCCACGCGTATATAGCCTCTGCCAGGGAAGTCCTACTCACTGCCTTCTCGTGGCATTACTGTTGTTTACGAAAATGAAAGGACGAAAAGCGAATGTACGGAGCTTTAACCGGATTCCAAACCAATGGTGCACATGGGCTCCAATATCCTGCGGGAACAAATGACGTATGAACCAATTGTTGGTCACCGGCTTCCATGGGACTGCATCTCTTTACGATGCTCCACTGCCTTGTGGATCAGACCTTCAGGTCGAAGGCTCGGGGAGTGGCCCCATAAGAAAACCACCTGCTTCGGTTTGGGCACCCGGGCAGTATCACAGCCCTCACACATATCGAATGAGATTTGTGTGGCGCATATGTATTTGATGCCTCCTTGTACCAATATCTATGTGTTAAAATAAATAAATCATTGAGTACAAAGGGGAAAGGCAAGTTGATTCTTTCGATGGTCTACACAAGAAGAGTTAACGAAATTAAATTAGTGATCTAAGTCCAGTTGAAACCAAGTCTACCTGTTAATATTCATAGTCAATAGGAACTGTTAGTTGATTATCAGTCAGTCAGTCAGCTACAACGTAGGACCAGGCACATATATCTATCGGTCCAAGTTGCCATATCTCATTAGCATAACAAGATGAACACTATCGTAACCAGTGGTTGGCGACTCTGATTGACATGTCTGATAATCGATCATAATGGTGTTGGTGTATACACTCTTTGTCTTTCGTTAATCTGTCAGTCAGTCAGTCAGCTACAACGTAGGACCAGGCACATATATGCATCAATCCAAGTTGCCATACCTCATTAACACAACAAGATGAACACCGGATTCATAAAAGTGGTTAATTCAGAAGTGGTAATATATAAAAGAAAGATTGCAATAAGGATATAGTACAGGAAGAAAGAATTAATTCGTAGAAAGAAAGATATGAAGCAATTTTAATCTCTTAGTTTAAGGGAAGATAGAGAGTGTATACACCGACGCCATTGTGATCGATTCTGAGCCATGTCACCAAGAGTCTCCAACCATTGGTTACGATAGTCACGCGGACACCAACCAAGTAGTCTGCATCTACCAGCATGGCTCAGACTAGAAGTTAGTGGCTTCAAGCACTGGTGCCACATTTTGGTTTGGCCGCCCCTAACTTTCTTCCAACCATCCCGAACACCGGTTGGCATTGCACGTCGTGGTAACCGGTGTTCAGGCATACACAACACGTGGCCCAACCATCTCAGTCGATGAAGATTCACAACCTCATCAACTGATTTACCATCATTCCCTAATACCTTGCGTCTAACCTCACTATTACTTACCCGGTGATCCCAGCAGACGCCAGCAATATTTCTAAGGCATCTGTGGTCAAATACTAGTAGCTTACGAGTGTCTTCTACTCTTAATGTCCATGTTTCGCAGCCGTAAATTAAAACAGAACGCACTGCCGCGCAGTATACTCGTCCTTTTATTGATAGACGGATATCTCGCCTTCGCCATAGGTGACGTAAGTTGGCAAAAGCCAAGCGAGCTTTTCGAATCCGTGCTGAGATTTCGTCAGACACCAACCCATTAGAGCTGATCAGACTTCCAAGATAAATGAAGTTGTCAACGCGTTCGACTACTTCACTCCCTATCCTTAGTTCAGGTGTTGACGCAGACCAGTCCTGAAGCAACAACTTGCATTTAGAGGGAAAGAAGCGCATTCCAAACATTCTGGCATTGTTGCTTAGTGCTACCAAAAGACCCTGCACTTTATTAGCGTCTTCACCAAACAGGACTATGTCATCTGCGTATTCTAAGTCACTAAGTGGACCTCCTGGAAGGAGATCAATACCCGAGAATTCAGTCGACGTGAATGTTATTTTCATCAATAGGTCTATGATGAAGTTAAACAAAAATGGGGAAAGTGGACAGCCTTGATGGACACCACTTGAGGTTTCAAAAGTAGATGACAGTTCACCATAAGCTCTGACCCGACTGGTAGTGTTCGAGTAAAGAGCCTTCACAAGGTTCATGTACTTCTGAAGCAAGCCTCTCAATGACAGACACTGCCACAGGATCTCGCGGTCTACGGGGTCAAATGCTGTTCTCAAGTTAAGAAAGACCACCATTGTCGGACGCCGATAAGTATGCCTGTGTTCTAGAACCTGACGAATGGTGACTATGTGGTCGAGGCAGCCACGACTGGTTGATTATAATGTAGTTAATATTGCATAATACTAGAAAGAACAGACATTATCTTTCCATTAGCACTGGGTGTAGTTTTCCAGTACATTATCCTGATTTCATCTCGTTGTACTAATGTGTTATGACAACTTGGACCAACCCACATTAGTGCCAAGGCTTACGCTAATTATGACTGACTGGCAATTTCGACACAATACATAAAAGGTCAAAACGAAGCAAGATGATGACACAGGTGTTTGTATCGGGGAAGCTCCTCTGCCCCGCTATTCTTCCACATATTATTTACAGAGCCATAAATTATTTTGACAAGGATGTGTTGGTAAGAATGCAATATGACAAATTTAGAGAATGTTATTATATTTGTAAATATGACATCGGCTCAGTATAAAGACATTTCGAGACGAAAATAGTTTTTGGATCAACTTTCGATTGGTGATTGGCATATTAGTGCAGACCACAGCAATTACTCCGACGTGGTCTTTGGGGTTATATTTTATGACGTACCCCTAAGACCTTATTTTCTGGAACACATTACTTAAGATTGTACCACGCAGGTTGATTAGAAGGCCTCAAACTTAAGGTCCGAGGACAGATTAATGCTGTCAAATTAACAGGGATGATGAAATTGTTTACTTCAGATAACTAGCATATGCAGTGTTTGCCATACATTTTTAGCAGTCAAAAAGATTATTATTAGAGATACTTGGGAAACCAAAACAATTCGCTCTTAGCCATCTGATCGTAGATTGTAACTCCGTTTCATCTACCTCAATTATATTACTCGGGCACTACTATTTGCATTTGTTGACAGATTCGTCCGAAGCCAATTATATGAATTGCTTCAAGAAATTGACATACAGAAGAATTATGGTCCAGACAAGTAAACTAAATGGAAAGTTCACTGAACAGCAACTTACCCCATATTTATTAACGCGCATAGTGAATGACTTTCGAAGTCAAATGGTAAATACTAGTAAATAGATTACATTGATTCCAGAAGGGTTATTCACTCGAGAAATTTGTGGAGAGGCTGCGATCTCCTAACCCTAATTCGAGGTAACCTGCTGAGTAGTTATTGGAACGGAGTGATATCCTCTAAAACTGGTAGAAGTGACAGGTGCTTTCATCATTTCGTTTCCTTTTAGCGTAGCAACATGCATAAACTACCATTGCAGTTAGTTCATCTCCTGTTTTTTCCTTAACTTTATTAGCTATATTCTTTTCGTCTGTCCTAATTTCTAAGTCTGCTGTAATATGGTGTAATTAATTTTATTGTTACATGATGATGTTGCGAACCTCCACCATATGCCACCCTTAGGTAAAAGTGACCACGCAGTCTTAACTTTCGACTTCCATATAACTGCCAGTCATGAGGACGCGTCAGTCCAATCCAGACCCAACGTCTGGAAAGCAAACATACCAGACATCATGCACTCAGCATCGTTAATAGATTGGACAATAGACCCAGAGTCCTCCATTGAAACGGCCTGGGACACATTTCGAAAATCATACTTAAAAGTTACCACACCTCACATCCCTTGGACTATACCAAAGGGGCCGAAAAACTCACCACCATGGTTCAGTAGGGAGGTCCGTATCCTTCTCCGTAAGAAAAGGAAAACGTGGGATAGATTTAGGTTACTGGGGACTGATGAGTCAAAATCTCAGTATCGAAAGGCTCGGAACACTTGTGCCTCGACCCTCCGTAAGTCTAGAAAATTGTACGAAGAAAAACTTGTTAAGGAATCCATAGAATGTCCTAAACGCTTGTATTCCTATATAAACCAAAGGACAAGGAGAAAAGGAAATATTCCTGCTCTATGGGGAGACAGTACTGCTTCATCATTAGTGGAGGACGACTTTGGTAAGGCTCAAGCGTTCTCGAACTACTTTAGCAACGTGTATACCATAGAAGCGCCCTTCTCGTCAGCGTATACAGATCTCCCCATACATACACTGGATAGCGTGACCATTAAAGAACTCGATGTCTTTGATCTGCTAAATAAGCTTGACACAGGTAAATCCACGGGGCCCGATGAATTACATCCTAGGCTACTGAAGGAATTATCTAACTTCGTTGCGAACCCTTTAAGTACATGCTTTAACCTATCCGTTACGCAGGGTCGCTTACCGAAAGATTGGAAAAACGCCATAGTAAGTCCTGTCTTCAAAACAGGCACGAAACACAAACCTGAGAACTACCGCCCCGTTAGCCTAACTAGTGTGGTTGTTAAAATATTAGAAAAGATTATTCGGAAGGAGCTGTTTAAGTATCTCGATAAAAACCGGATCCTCTCGGAGAAGCAGCATGGCTTCAGAATAGGTTATTCTTGTCTCACTAACTTATTAGTGGCTCGTGAAAGCTGGTGTGCTCTTAAGGACCAAAAGCTACCTGTAGACGTCACCTTCATTGATTTCAGTAAAGCCTTTGATAAAGTTCCGCACAACCGGCTGTTATATAAGTTAAGACATGTCGGGATTAGAGGTAATTTATTGATGTGGATAAAAGACTTCTTAGTTGGGCGTCAACAAAGAGTAAGGGTGAACTCAAAGTTATCTAGCTGGGAAACTGTGCTCAGTGGAGTGCCCCAGGGTACAGTTTTGGGGCCAGTGCTATTCCTCTTGTATGTAAATGACCTTCCTTGTCTCCTATCATCATCGGTCTTGCTATATGCTGACGATGTCAAGATATGGAGAACGATACGATGTAAGAGTGATAGCTTAGAACTTCAAAATGACCTGAAGAAGTTATCTGAATGGTCTCAAACATGGCAGTTGCCGATAAATACTTCCAAGTGTATTGTGATGCATATCGGTCATCAAGGCACAGATACATACACGATGAATAACACTGAGCTACCTGTCGTCCAGACATATAATGACTTAGGAGTTATCGTTAGTCAAGACTTAAAGACTACTGCACACTGCCGTGCAATAGCCGCCAAAAGTTTTAGAACGTTATGGTCAATACGTAGGGCTTTTAGTCATGTCGACACTAAGACGTTTTTGACTTTGTATACAGTGTTCGTTCGTCCTAAACTTGAGTACTGCATACAAGCGGCTAGCCCCTGCTTTAAAAAAGACAGAGAGCTCCTGGAAAAGGTTCAGAGAATGGCGACTAAGCTGGTTCCCGCAATAGCGAAGCTTCCGTATGAATCTCGACTGGCCAAGCTGAACCTTTTCCCGTTGTCATATCGCAGAACTAGAGGCGACTTGATTACAGTCTACAAATTGCTTAGTGATAAATTTGCACCTAACATGCCCTCATTTTTCTTGTCTTCCAAAACAGAGAATTTACGAGGACACTCCAAAAAAGTTCATAAGCCGAGAACAAATTACTTGTCAGCTGACTATCGACTTTCCCATCGAATCGTCAACGAGTGGAATTCACTACCTCAGCACGTGGTTGAGGCTCCATCCGTCGACTCTTTCAAAAGAAAGTTGGATCAACTGAGAGACCACCATTGCCAGGACTAACATAGGCCATCGAGCCTCCTGTCCTTCCCAAACTGAAACTGAAACTGAAACTGATTTACATCACATTTTATCGAATTTAATATCTGCCACAAACTATTTCAAGATTTCCGTAGAACCAAAAATACTGTGTCGAGCGAACGAACTGCTGAACAATATAAGTTGGAAAACTCTAACATGTATTCTTTAGCCACCGAGAAAGTTTTTCCGGAAAAAATGAATAAAAACCGACCAGGTCTAGACAAGAGTTGCTTAACATTTAAAAGCAAACAACAATGATGAGTTCGCATCAGGGTGATTTATAGGACAGAACAACACTGACAAACGTAGTATGTTAATTTGGACCTACTTTCATTAAAGATTCTACATCGGGTTTACTTGGGGTATATTCTTGCGCTATGTACCGTTTCTGTTCATACTTTGCTCGAATGAACGTCTCCAACGCAGCATCTGTCTGTGGCCTTCTAAAATTATCGGGCAAATTTGCTTCATATACAGCTCGTGCTCTGCTATTACCCATTTCCCTCATAACCTAAAATGAATGATTACTGTTTAACTTTCTCTTACAGCCAACTGCATAGGAGTCCATGTATCAAGGTTAACGGATTTAACTTTGGATATATGAACACCCAGATTGCGATGTATCCCTGCACATCTTATGCACAAGAAAATGCCAATATTCCAGGAAGCCCAACGTGGCCCTAACCTTGCTAAGATATAATATATGACTTACCTTTCGCGTCACAATCTGCGCAGTACTTATTGTCGTCATCACGAAGTAACTCCTGAATTATGAGCTGATGTCTTTCATTTTGCAGTTTAGTATTATCCCGTCTGTTTGAACTACTTGTCATTACAAGATTGAAAAACCCTCACAATCTATGACCTCGAAATCTCCAATAGTCTTCAATCCTCAAACCTCAAACGTTGATACTAAGCGGTACAGTTTCAGTTTGGAAAGGATAAGAAGCTTGATGGCCTGTGTTAATCCCGGCAATTATGGTGTCTCAGTTGATACGATTTTCTCTTGAAAGTACTGACGGATGAAGCCTCAATCGCGTGCTGAATTAACGAATTCTACTCGTTGATGATTCGATGGGAAAGTCGATAGTCAGCTGACAAGTAATTTGTTCTTGACTTGTGAACATGTTTTGGACAGTCCTCGTAAATCCTCTGTTTTGGAAGACACGAAAAATTATGGCATGTCAAGTGAAAATTTATCACTTAGTAATTTGAAAACTGAAATCAAGTTATTTCTAGTTCTTCAATATGACAACAGGAATAGGTTTTACTTGGCCAGTCGAAAATGATACTGGAGCTTCGCTATTCCGTGAATCAGCTTAGTTACTGTTATTTGAACCTTTTCCAAAACCTCATTGTCTTTTTTAAGTAGGGGCTGGCCGCTTGTATGAAGTACACAAGTTTAGTACGCACAAACACTGTATACAAAGTCAAGAAATTTTTAGCATCGACATGAACAAGGGCCCTACGTATTGACCATAAGGTTCTAAAACCTTTGGCGGCTATTGCACGGCAGTGTGCAGTAGTCTTTAAGTCTTGGCTAACGATGACTCATAAGTCATTATGTGTCTGGACTACAGATAGCTCAGTGTTATCCATCATGTATGTATCTGTACCTTGATGATCAATATGCATCACAATACACTTGGAAGTATTTATCGACAACTGCCAGGTTTTAGACCGTTCAGATAATTCCTTCAGGTCGTCTTGAAGTTCTAAGCTATTACCCTTACGAAAGCAATCCTGACTACTTGTAGGTCTGATTCTTGTTATGTTCATCCTGAGATTAATGGGACAAAACAAGTGATTCAATAACAGTTTGAGTAGTCGAGAGGTACATCTGTAGTGGCATTGAACAATAACCGCACAATCCACAAAGCTGAACACGAGACTACTCAGAAAATAGATATTCAATATTTAACGCGGATAAATACCTAACGATGGAGAAGGCGCGAAGAAGGAATTACCAAACAAACTGGATGAACTACGTGAACTTAGCAACGCTAATAAGGCCCATCTGATAGGAATATCTGAAACCTGGATATCTTCTCAGTTCTCGGACCAAGAGTTAGCATTACCTGGGATGACTTTGTTCCGCAACGACAGAAAAACAGGAATTGGGGGCGGAGTAGCCATATACATAAGCTCTTGCTTGGAGGTGCACCAAGTTCACAACCTCGAGTTTAACAATCTTGAGGAACCCATATGGTGCTCTGTAAGATTGTCTAGTACTTCGAGGTGTCTAGTCAGAGTCATTTACAGAAAGCCAACTGCCGACATCGAGTACGATAGTCGTATGCTGGAAGGACTATCCCGCTCTATCCGTCTCGGTTTCACACACATCCTGATTCTAGGGGACTTTAATCTCCCTAGAGTCAACTTCGCGGAACACACGTACACTGGAGGCGACAACTCAATTGAAGCTCGGTTCTACAACCTCATCGATGACTTGGGCTTATATGAAAACGTGAGGTCGGCAACTCGTTGGAGAAACAGTCAGACACCTTCGCGCTTAGACTGTGTATTCACTAACGAAGAATTCCTAGTCGACAACCTCTCAATCCTGGCTCATCTGGGAAAGAGCGATCATGCCGTCATAGCCTTCAGTTTTGTCATCAAAACTAAGCTAAGGTATCCCAACAATAATTTGCGTTGGAACTTTAAACGGCTGAATGTGCCAGCTCTACATGACTATCTACAACAGGTGGCTTGGGATGTTCACCCTCAACTCGATGTGGATGGTCATTGGGACTTCTTACTGCACACGCTCTTATGTGCTACAGACCATTCAGTTCCTCAAACGGTTCCCAAAAGCTGCAAGCCACCTACAGTAATCAAGAACCGTACCCTTCGCCTGCTAAGCCGCAAAAGGCACTGTTGGGCGGAATACAAACGAACTAATAACGATGGAGCGTCTAGGCAATATAAACATATCAGGAACATATGCACGAAGGCTATAAGAGAAGACAGGGTTCAGTACCAGACAAAGCTTATGGACAAATTCGCCTCTAACCCTAGAAGCTTATTCCGTTATGCAGCCTCTCTTCGTCAAGCCAAAACAGGAGTTTCTCAACTGGTAGGTCTTAACGGCCCGACCAACAACGATGGCGACGCCGCTAACCTTCTGGCGGCACATTACTCTCAAACGTTTCAACCGGCTGACATCAACTTTACTGACGACAGTTTCATCTGCAATTCCACAGGACTTTCCGAAGTAGACCTAAGCGCTGACTTGGTGTTCCGGAAATTGCAGCACTTAAGATTAGACACTTCTCCTGGCCCGGATACGGTTCATCCTGCCATACTGAGAGAGGCAGCCTCAATCTTGTCAACGCCGCTTAGCGTGATGTTTTCACACTCGCTTAGCCGAGGCAAATTACCGGAAAATTGGAAGTTGGCTCACATCACACCAATTTTCAAAGGTGGTCGACGCAATGAACCTTCAAGTTATCGGCCGGTGGCTCTTCTGTCATTACCTTCAAAACTCATGGAGTCCCTGATATGCGACGGTTTAAATGACTATCTACTGTCCTTAAATTTCTTCTCACCCCAACAGCATGGTTTCAGGAAGGGTTACTCTTGTATAACCAGCCTGCTGACTACGGTGGACAGATGGACAAGCATCCTCGATTGCAAGGGAAAGGTTGATGTCATCTACCTTGATTTCTCAAAAGCTTTAGATAAGGTTAACCACTTATGTCTTATCAACAAGCTCAAACGACTAGGTATCAAACCACCCCTAATCGATTGGCTTACTTCATACCTAAAAAATCGACACTTTAAGGTTAGAGTTAATTTCACTTTATCTCAGGCTATGGAATGTCCTATTGGGGTCCCCCAGGGCTCAGTACTAGGGCCTCTTCTCTTCTTGATCTACATAAATGATCTTCCTCAACAGCTAACGTCAGATTTATTACTTTTTGCCGACGACGTGAAACTTTGGAGAGAGATACGCAACCAAGACGATACACAGGCACTTCAGGAGGATCTGACTCGACTTCAAAGTTGGGCAGACGATAACGGACTTACCTTTAACACTTCAAAGTGTAAAGTAGTCCATCTGCGACATGTTGCAAACTACAGTTACAACTTAGGAAACTCCTCTCTAGTAGTATCCCAAGTCGAAAAAGATTTAGGAGTCCTGGTGCCCCATGATTTGAAGTCTTACGCCAACTGTGACAAAAATGCCTTCCGAGCAAACCTTGCACTGGTAACGTTGAGGCGCATTTTTGGCCAGTTTGATGGAATTACTTTCCACACAATCTTCAATAGTTTCATCCGTCCCCATTTAAAGTACGGAAACATAGTATTCCCCCCTCACTCCAAAAGGACAAGGTCACTTTGGAGCGTATCCAGCGGCGAGCCACGAAATCAGTTCGAGGCTTCAAATCTAAGCCTTACGAAGAACGCCTCCGTTCACTAGACCTTTACCCACTAGAATATAGGCGCCTTAGAGGTGATTTACTAATGGCTTATAGTATTCTTAACACTTCTGAACATCCTCTTAAACACCTACTTAAGCTTAGTTCGAATAACAACCTAAGGGGTAACACCCAGAAACTGGAAACACAACATAGCAAGACGGAATGTAGACACAATTTCTACTCCTTAAGAGTTGTCAAAAGCTGGAATTCGCTGCCGGCCGAGCTAGTCCAAGCGACTTCTCAGGAGTCCTTCAAGCGGCAACTTGACCTATTCTTAAGGACCAAGAACAGCATCACATTATGATTTACCAATCTCTTTTCCTCTTTTATTGTTAACATACCTAGGTTCCTGCCTGGAGGATTTGGTGATCCCCTGCTACTAGACACGGAAGCCTGTTAAGCGAAAGCTTCTTCTATTCCGTCCACAACCATTTGAACCATTTGAATGGACTGAGTTGATCGAGTGGCATGGCTCGGCCATGCAGGCGTGGTCCATGCCTGGATGTTATCTTATATCTCCTATTCATATTAAATATATTGTTCTTTCTCTAGCCTAAGCTTGTTCTACATCATGTATTGGTAGTTGTTACGACACGGTGAGTTGGTGTAGTCGATGATGTGACTTCCACGTAAGATCTTATAGATTAGGCAGTTATATCATGACGAATCTACAATTTTAGGATTAGGTCTATTATTAGAGCAGTACTAATATCATAGTAAACCATAATTCTACATTGGTGAGCCCAACTAAAGAAACGCAACCTATTATTGTTAATCCTTATTTCTACCTTAACCTTCTCAATCGGTTTTTATTTATGTTAACCCTGTATTCTAATAGTCCTCTGATTAATGCTCACATGCATTATCGTAATGTTATATCTATTAGTCCACATAACTTACTAGCTCAACCGATAATAAAAGTTGATCATCTATATCAACCAATTAGCTTTGATGGTTCGTTAACAAGCTTTAATAGCATTTACATGCTTCAGCAACAAAGACTTGTTTAAAAATCAAGCTCTAGCAAATATGACCTGTAAATAGCGTAAGTATACATTGACTAACAATGCAATCAAGGACTAAATAGTTATCTGGATCTAATTATCAGTGTTCCTTCACCTAACACCTCATCCTGTTTTAAACTATGCACTATCCTGTAATATCTTTTCTTCCGACCACTGCCTGCCTAATTTCATATTTTCGAGTTCCATTGCCAAACAACAAGGATGACACTTCTCCAAAAACATACGGTGAGTTTCATCTATAGGTTTTCTGCCATCATAAGGTCATTTTAGATGGCTCGTTCAATAACAACCACACAATTAACTGAATTCATTCGATTGTTCTAATCCGAGCGAGTGGCAGAAACGTCAACACCATCAAGCAACCTGAAATTAATTGCCATACTG